TGGGCACGATAAGCACCGAGAGTTGACAATCGATTGCGTGCCGCTGCCGCATCCAGCGAGAGGCACAACGCTTACTCTGCCTGGAGATTCTGCTGTGCTTCGGAACGTTGAAACCAAATAGAAGAAGGATAAAATAAGGAATTGCAGATGTATACCAAAGGGTTAGTGAGCTGTAATGTATGGTTTGTGTGCGGAAAGGAGCGCAGCGTTTCCCGACTGATTTTTGTAAGGTAGGCGGTATTTTGCGAACTAGCGGTATCTTTGTAAGAAAATATTCTATTGAAAACAGGTAGATGGCTGGTATATTTTGTAGCTGAATTGTGATCTTTACAAATTCTGAAATTGAGTTTATATACGTATTTTGACAGTTTCTATATTTCATTTTAGTAAACAAATGAAATATTTTGTGAACCAGATTTTCAAGCGTATATTTTTATGGATAGTACAGAGTCAAATGAGATCCTCTTTGGGGTAGGAGATATTTGAATTAATTTTGTATGTCTGTAGGCAACTTGCAAAAAAAAAAACCGGATCCTAAGGAGTATTGGGAAAAAATAAAAAAGAGATCAGGGCTTTTTATTCCCCACAGCTGACAATATCTGACATTACAGCCGATGGCTGTAGGAGATTCTAGTTGGTATGATTTTGTTTCAGGTGAAAATTAACCGTTTGCCATGATCAGGACTCTCTTGGATGTGGAATCTCCATTCTTGGAGATACTCCAAAGGCCGTGGTCCTGGGCAGCTGGCCCTGGGTGCCCCCACTTGAGCAGGGGGTGAGACAAGGTGATGCCCAGAGGTGCCGTCCAGCCTCGGCTGTTCTGTGATTCTGTGATTCTGTGAAGTAGAGCAATGTGTATGCAGTGCTTATTGCATGAATAATAAATACACTATTTTCCATAGTTAGGATTGAATCCTGCTTCCAGTTATGTCAGCGGGAATTGCACTATGGACTACGCTATTAAAAAGGTGTTAGAGCTACGTGTGTGTGTTGTGCTAGCTCAGACCTGAATGAAATTAAGAGCTGTACTCACTCCCTAGATGTGTAATGCGTGTCATACGGTCAGTCAGCACGTCTTGTTTTCCTCCCTTTGGAAGTAATGGACATGTTAGCGGCAGAGTTCCGTGCGAACGGTGCGAGAGAGACTGCATTCCGCATCGCCTTGTTAGCGGGCTGTAAAAGCCCATTCTTTTCTGAGCATTCTAAGCATCTGGTTGTTGCAGACCTAATCCACGAGACGCTTCCTTTAGACCGAACCAGAGTGTTGTGTTGGTTGGCGACCGTGTCACAAAAGGTGACATGTCAGGCGTAAGGAGCGAGGCCGAGAAAGTCACGGCTCTAGGGAGCTGCTCCAGGAGAGGTGCTTGGTGCCTCCGATTCCTGCGAGCGGAGTTTCAGGAGAAATGAACTCCTTGGGACGTGCTTAGCGCCTCAGAGAACCGGACCTTCTCGCTGCCGTGGGTACGCCCTGGTGTATGTTTGAGGGGGTTTGACCTGCAGTGCTGAAGCGAATTTGGTAACTCCTCTGTATGGTATTTTGCTCCTCGCTGTGTGCTGTTGCTCCTTTACCTTCTTTTGTAATACGGAATAATAATAAAAACCCGCTATCAAGTGTTAAGACTGTAAAGAAGAAATGGTGGCCAATTCTTCCTGTGTTCAGCAAGTGAAACCAGTGTGCTGCCAGGCAAAACATTCATAAACTTTCATCCTCTTAAAAGAATGTTTTGGCAAGAGCAGCTGATTTTTCATCATGGGAATATCAGACAGTAACAGGGGTTGGCTCTTTTAAGTAATCACTTCTCATGAAACACTTATTTTGGATTTACTTCACGACCTAGCCTGTAAGAGAACAGAATCTACCCTGTGAGTGGGAGAGACAGGAACACCGGTCTGGTTATTCCGAACGAAAGTACCCGCGTTACGTCAACTGTAAATATTTGTTGAAACAATTAGGTGGTTGCAAATTTTGACCTTGGTAAATAAAGTCGCCAAAATAGATTTGTCACGTTCCTCGTTTATTTTTAATGACCGTGGTCCTGCGGTGGTTCTGACCAAACCACCTTCGTTGGGTGGTGTCCCAGTGGGCAAAATCGAATGCCTGGTCTATGGGACAGCACCCAGAAATCCTTTAATTGCTGTGTCCTTCCAGCGGGCAGAATACGGAGTTGTTTGTGTGTAAAGTTGGGTCGGGGCTGCGGATAATGAGTGGACAGTACCTGGACCTTCTGCAGGGGTTTCTCCTTTCTGGCTGCCAGCAGCTGCTCTGAGCACAGCTGCGTCGCACTCTGCTAGCGCTCGCCCGAAGCAGGAGTATCTGCCGCCCGTGCATCCGCGGCGGTGGCGTTCAGTAGTGCTTGGGCTTCTGACGGCTGGCGCAGCGCCCAAAGGGGCTAGAAGCGTCTTTCAGTGGGTAATTACAGTCTCTAGATTGAGTTTCTTTACTGGGGTCAGGTTGTTAGCGTTTCCTCTGCGGTCGGCTCGGGTGTCAAAGGCGGAAAACAAAAGAGAACACAATTGCAAACACTACTTTGAACAATGAGTGTGTGTCCTTTGGCTCTTAGATTTATTCCAGAACAGGAGTTAGCACGCTCCTCGCAGTCCAGACAGGCAGACCAAACCTCTGAGGATGACGCAACGCGCTGTCGCTTTGGAAATCTACGCCAGTACCACGCATGTCACGGCCAGCAGGACGGTAAGCAGAACGCTGGTGGGATTCACAGCCTTGTTACTCAGCAGTTCGGACGTTACCCACCTTCTGTACTGAGATAAACGGACATAGATCCCAGGAAACTTCGGTCGGCCGCAGCCAACTCCAAAACTCGCGATCCCTATGAGATAGTATCTGTTGGTGCTGGGGTGATAGCACGCTAAAGGTCCACCGCTGTCTCCCTGTAAACAACACAAGAACTGTAACATCTGTTCCCCTCCAGGAGTCAGTGAAGAGTTGAGTCAGCAAGGGCTCACTGTCGTATTTTAATCACCCACGGGAACTGGGCAGCGAGGATGCCACGGGGAGCAGCACACGGACAAGCCAAGGTAAGACTGGGTGCTGCTGGGTGACACCTTGGCTCCAGCTCCGTGCCTGCGCGCCTTTCAGTGTCTTTAACTGAAGCTTTGCTTCTCGTTCCAAGGCTTGGCTCCCCGAGCTCTCACCAGCTACTGTGGGACTGTTGTCCGCACAGCGTGTAAACACCAAGAAACGCGGTAATGAATGCACAGCCCCGAATCTTTCCCGTGTCACCTACTTAAAGGAAAACTGCTGAGGAGAGCAGGAAGCATACCAGACAAAGTACTTACGAATAGGTTATGATTTTTAATTATAAATGTCTCCGTAGCACCACGGGAGCCCCAGCTTTCGCATTCTGGTGCTTTTCATGTGAGAACTGTCTCGGAGAGATGCTGATGGCTCAGCATTCACATAAAACCCTTGCCCTGTCACCAAACTACATCACTTTCCCACGCTGCTGCTCTTTCCAAGCTGGGCAGGATGCGTGTGTGCCCCACACGCCACGCGTGCGCAGTGAGACCCGTGTGTGTATCCCGACATATGTTTGCGCGCTGTGGAATCTACTGGCATCTCTGTGGCAAGCGTTGCGTAAATGTTTGTGTCCTGCATCCTTTCACTCACTCCGAGTATCCCTGAATTTTTTGGGTACATTTTGGAGATATTTTTTCCTTGAAATCACCATCCTGCCTCTCTTTACAATGCGGCTTTCGCAGTTTGATGTGTTTTTTGTCCAGTATTTGTGCCTTTTTAATTACGCTACAAGTGCCGGTCACGACGGCCCTGAGACTGGCTTGGGGGTGCCCGTAGTGCCAGGTCGGGCACAGCATTCGTTCTTACCTGGCAGGTATCGGTGCCTCCTGATGGAGAGCCAGCGCAAATCATGTTGTTGTTAACCAGGCCTCTATACGCATCAGAGCTGTTACAGACGCTAGAAGGAATGATTTCCACTTGTGCTTCTTTCAGCACGGCCGACATTTTACCTTTGATGGGAGATAGCATACGGAAAGGTAAAATACCCGTGCTGTGGCGTGTAGCGGTTCGTGCCGCGCTCTCCCTGCCCGCTGTAGCTGCCTTAAGCGTGTTTCTGCCTGCGTTCAGACACGTACGTAACGGGTCGTGCCTGCTTCTAGCCAATCTAAACCAGAGTGGGTTAAGGCTTTGCAGACATGGATTTGATGCAGGTTTTGCCGTTCTTAATGTGAAGAAATGTTGATATAACAATACTGCTCGCTGGCCTTGCTCAAAACGTCGGGGGTGATTTAGCAAACAAGCTTTGTGTGATCCCCAGCTGGACTGAAATCCCCACTCGGGAAGGGTGCGCGCCACCGGCCAACATGTCCCAGCTCATCAGGATTAAAGAGAATTTGAGGGAGCGCAGCCATCCGTAAAATACGGGGGGAGGGGGCCTAAACTCACACTGCGTGGTGTCAGAATCGTCGTTTTTCGGTCAGAGCTATTTCTGGCAGACAGCATCGAGTAGCTGTGCCATGAATCGGAAAGTCAGGGTAGTTTATTTTCCTTTTTTCGTGTTATACTTGGCAGAAAGGCTAGGAAATACATGCCTTTAGTTACACCTGCCTAGACCCGATCTGCTTGCAGGGGGAAAGCACGCAGAATCAGAATCATGGGATGGTTTGGGTGGGAAGGGGCCTTATAACCCACCCAATCCCACCCCCGCCATGGGCAGGGACACCTTCCACTAGCCCAGGTTGCTCCAAGCCTCATCCAGCCTGGATGCATCCAGCCTGAAAGCAGATGCTGAGTTGCAGAAGGATTTAATGATGTGGTGTGATCAAACCGTAACCTGCACAAATTCAGTCCTCTCCCCTTGAGCTAGAGGGCCTGGAGTCCGATAGCAGTTCGGAAGCTGCTACCCTGGAAGCAGATCTGTACCTTTTTCGGCTGTATGTCCCCAGCCGCTGATGAAGCATTCCGTGTCGTTGTGCGCCTGGGGGTGAAGGTGCGCGGGAGGGAGGCAGATGGGCTGAATGTAGTCGCTGTAGCGTACCGCGGGAGCCAGCTCAAACCGTGCTATGTCGTTTTCAAATGTCTCTCTCTTGAACTCTGGGTGCACAGTGATGCTTCTGATGCTCCTTGTGACTGCGTGCTTGCCGTGTTTCCTAAGGTTGTGCGCGCCCAGAACAGCTCTCCAGGAGCGTGGGTTCCTAAGAGAGAATTGGTTTGGTTTTTCCAGTTAGGCTTTACAGTGAGGAAATGACGGCGCTGTTTCGACCCACCGTTTTACACACCTGTAGGAACAGACGTTGGAAATTCTGTACTAAATATTTGCTGGAACAAATTTGGGTAATTACCGTGTTGTCTGGTTTGAACCCTGGGTTTGCCTGATGCTGGTTCTGGCTGTTAGGGAGAGCTCAGCAGATACTTAGATCTGGCTCCCCACCCCATCTCAGCAGAGGCCACCCAGGAGATACGGTTTTGAAAAAGATGAAAACATGGGTTTATTTTGCAGAAAGGAAGTAGGTTTATACCCGCCCACGGTGCTTACAGAGGCTGTGCTTATAGCTGGATTGGGGAAAGCCATTAGCTAGAAGATACAGATAAGGAAGATCAACTTAATATTCAGTTTAGAAATAGGGCCGGAGTCACTCTGACCTAATGTCTATTGGAGTATGTTGAAACCAAATCTGCTGATTCTGAATGGGAATGGAATTTGGCCTGTGATGAGCAAAGGGCAAGCTGCAAAAATCTGATTAACCTCCAAGATTCTCCAGAGCCTAAAATAAAAATTAAATTGGTTATTTGGAATGTAATGCCCCTCAGAGGTAATGTTCATAAGCGCGCGTTTAAAGAAGCAAGGAGCTGATCTAACCAAGTCCTGACAGATGATGAAGTTCCGAAGAGCAGAGCTCTTCACGGTTCCGTTTCCCGCAGCTCACGGGTATGTCAGCGCAGGCGACAGCAACGCGCATGAACTGGCGTGCAGACTTTGCAGCTGTGCTCAGGGCTGCAGAGAAGGCCGGGGCCATCAGGATCGCAGCAGAGCTGCTGTAGGTACCACTAAAAGGCCTGTTCTAAGGAGTGTGTACCCCATCGTTGTAAGAAAGTAGTAGCAAAGTGCCGAGCTGTTGGCTCTTGGGTAAAAATGGGGATTGTGTTAAAACAAATTGTAATGTCTCTAGGTATTGCGACATTTTCCTTTAGCAGTGAGCTTTTCTAATTTAGAAAAAGGCATTAAACAGAGAAATTAGAGCTCCATTGCAAAAAAAAAAAAAAGCCCCCAACCCAATGTCACCTGGATCGAAACCAAACTGACCCTTCATTAAGAACCCCACTGGTTGTTGGGGTGATTTGTTAGCGACCCCCCCAGGTGACTCTGCCCTCCTCCTGGCTAACGGTGTTGGCACGGGGACGTACTTCCTGGTAACGCAGTGGCCAGCACTAAGGACCGAGTTCTCGTTCACCAGGACTCCACCGCAGATGTGGACCTGGTGAAGCTGGAGACTGACCGACCACGGCCACGCTCCGGCCTGGGCGTCGTGGCCGCCTAGGATCCGCAATCCCCAGATGTTCTCCATGAGCGGCCGTTGTCCGCACTCTGCCAAACAGAACAGTCGGTTATGTCATTCAAAGGGAAAAAACCACAGGTTTTGGTGCACTCGCAGCATTTTTAGGGTTTGTTTTTTTGTTTGTTTGGGGTTTTTTAGCCCCCGGTGTTATTGGCTGAAGGACATTCGCAGCTACCGCCCGGCTTTGGTAGGTCCCAGGGCTGGTTCCTTCGCGTGTAGAACTGTTTCGTCTGGTTACGCACCCTTTTCTTGTGTATGGGATTATTGCGGACACTGAGGGGCAAGCAGGTTCCAACCGCTGCCGCTGTTTTGTGAATTCATCCCATTTAGGTGCGGATGAACTTCATCCGCGTGTCTGTGGGGAGCCGTGGGCCACCCCG